ACCAGATGATGAAGAGCTTTACATGCCAAACAGAAGCTTTTATTTGATCCTAGAAGTAATAGAGAGCTTCTGGCGTTTATTGATTAGTGGAATGGAAAAGGGATTAGAGTGGGGAGAGACCTGAGCCAGGGAGACCAATTATGAGGCTGGGATAGTAGGACCACCACCTAAGGCTAGAAGGTCCCAGCCACAGAGGCTAGTTTTCCCTTAAAAGACCATGAAATCATCCTTGAGACTCAGCTGATTCAGGCAAACAAGGCTCCAACTGTTGAGAAAGCTCCCAGTCAACTAAAGGTACAAACTCCTAGTGTGTAAGTTGTCAAGACTTCTCAGGTTGGCAGATGGTGCACCACCATGAAAAGCAACATACCCTCCTATGGCAAATGTTCAAATCCGGACTGAGATACCTATAGCTTGTGACCTTGTCAAGTCACTTAAATGCTGTTTGCCTCAGTTTCCTTGACTGTAAAATGGGAATAGTAATAGCAACTACCTCCCAGAGTTGTTGTGAGAATCAAGTGAGATAATATTTGTAAAATGCTTAGCACAGTCCTTGGTACATAATAGATGCTACATAAATACTAACTATTATTATTGTTTATTAATGTAGCAACCGTAAACAACATAATACAATTAATATGTAACTATATAATTAATTAATATAATTATATAATATAATAACTATATTAATAAATAACATAATAATAAATGTGGAAGGGAGGGTAGCTGCTCCCAACTGAATCAACAGTTCTGAAATTGTTGAACATCCTCTCCATTTTATCATAAAGTAAACTTCTTTTGCTACATGTCATATGGTAAATAAGTATCTCATTCTGTTCTAGTCCCAAGCTGGAATCAGTAGTTCAGCCTGGTCCAAAAGAGAGGCTATTGTCCAGGCAAGAGGTGATGAGGGCCTGAATTGATAAGCAGAGTTTGGGTTAGACAATACGCTTCATGATCCTCCTTGACTGTTACACCCTATAATTTCCTCAAGTGGATTTAAGTGACTCAATTTATTCTAAGTTCTCTGATCACTCCCCACCCCCTACTACATTTTGTCTCATAAATTTCAAGCTCTCTTGCCTAGATTTCAGGGTCTTTTGTAATCTGAATCCCCCCCCCCATTGACTTTCCAATTTGAACTCTCACAAATACCTATCCCCACGTCAGTCCCCTCATTCTCACTAACACATGCCACTGTTATTCTCATCTCCATGTATTTTCTCCCCTTCATGAAATGCCCTTCCCTTCTTCTCTCCCTACTTAAATTTTATCAATCCTTCACGGCCCACCTCAATTCAATTGTTAAATGCTTTCATTTTTCTAGGCCTCTTGCTAGTGTAACAATGTTTTGATGCATGACCAGACTAGGCATGGCCAGAGCAAACCTGTGTTGTGCTAGATCCTGCAAAAATGTAGATAAGACATCAAATCTGATGATAAGCACAAAGCAGGAGTTCAGGAAACGTGCTCTGAGAAATTTGAGGATGGAGAAATCACTCAAGCCTGAAAGGATCAGGGAAAGCTTTTTGGAGGACTTGACATTCAAGATGGGACTATGAGAAAGAAGACTTCATTAGACAGAGGGAAAGTCCGTTCAAAGAGCATAGGGCAGACCTGCACAACTTGGCAGTAGGTAGGGGCCAAAATTAAAACAGGCTGAACTTCTTCAGGCTGCAGATAGGTTTTTAGTAGATCACTGTCCTATATATCTATATCTATGTAATATTTTGTATATTATATTATATTTATATATTATATTTTGTATAATTAATAATTAAACTATTTTGTAAATAAACCATTTTTTTTTAATGAGACCACGGGCTTTATTATACCTATACATAGAAACTGGGGAATTCCTAATAATAGGCTACCAGATGGTTGACAAATTTCTACATTGTTAGTACATCATGATGTGGTAAAATGATTGTGGTTCCTACTTTTCTGCAACACTTTCCTTCAAGAATCAGCTCAATTGTCACTTTCTATAAGAAGTCTTTACTTCTCCTTAGTTGCTAGTACCTCTTCCTCATTCTAGGTTATTCTCTTTCTCTCTCTCTCTCTCTTTCTCTCTCTCTCTCTCTCTCTCTCTCTCTCTCTCTCTCTCTCTCTCTGTCTCTCTCTCACACACACACACACACACACACACACACACATAAATACAGAATAGTCTCTGCCTTATAAGAAAAATAATAGGAGCAGCTAGGTGATACAGTGGATAGAGCACTAGCCGTGGAGTCAGGAGGGCCTGTGTATGTATGCATGTATGCACGTATGTATCATATGTGTATGTATACACATGCACACTATGTATATACACATACAAACAATACATATATACGTACAATACACAACAGATATACACATAGTCATGCATGTATGTGTGCACATATATGCACATGTGTATACACACGTATATTACAGATTTTTCTGTGTAGCTATCCAACCTTAAGGAACCACTGCCAAGTCCACTCCATTCCTCACTAAGGACACCTTCTGCTCTGAAGACGGGCTTAGCAAACTCACTGTGGCACTGTCTGGTAGTGTTTGCAGCCAGCAGTGAGGGTAAAGGAGAAATTATTTTTTTATCTTGTACAGTGAGAATGGAAAAAGCACATCATGGTCCTTTCCCCGTCTCCCCTTTGGGAGCCCCCCTCCCAAATAAACAATTTCCATGATATACTAATGCCTATTTCAGTTTAGCCTTCATAGATATGCACAAATGCACTGAGAGAATATCCATTTTCTATTCTGTTCAAGCATCATTACTATATTACTACTATAAGGTCTGTTTCTAGTAAACCATATTTTAAAAAGGGGAAATTTCAATTAATATCAATTAATTACATATTACTTGAGATTTTTATTTATCATGAAATCACATTGATGTTTAAAAAATTACTTTGTTATGCTCACTGTTTTCCCTGTTCAATGCCAGTAATGACCAAAAACACAACAAAAAGATATGACTCTCAGGGGCAGCTAGGTGGCACAGTGCATAGAGCACTGGCCCTGGAGTCAGGAAGAACTGAATTCAAATCCTGCCTCAGCCACATAATACTCACTAGCTGTGTGACTCTGGGCAAGTCACTTAACCCCAATTGCCTCACCAAAAAAAAAAAAAGATACGACTCTCACACCTCTCAGACTAGAAACAGACTGGAAATGGTTGGTTGCTGGAGCTCACACGGCAAACAGGAGAGAGTACATAGTGGCAAACCCCCTGCCATGTTTCATGACAGGCACAATAGTGAATAGTGGTAGGCAGGCAAGTTAAGCAGGGCATGGACAAAGCACTCATTACATCTTTACTTTCTTTCACATCCTCTGCATTTTTCTTTTTTTTTTTTTTTTAGGCAATTGGGGTTATGTGACTTGCCCAGGGTCACACAGCTAGTAAGTGTCAAGTGTTTGGTCTGAGGCTGGATTTGAACTCAGAGTCCACCTGACTCCAGGGCTGGTGCTCTACCTCTGCCCCATCCTCTACAATTTTTGTGGGATACCAAAATTCTCTGGTGGGCCACAGCAGCTTGTGGGCCATACATTGCACAGGCAACAGTATGAGGAAGGTACAGGCTAAGAGAACAGGCTAAGAATAGGAAAAGCAGATCAAGCCACTGTGGCCAGAATGTGTCGTATACAAAGGAGGAGTTATATGGAATAAGTAGATGGATTGGAGTCCATTGTGGAAGGCCTTAGATGCCAGAATTAGGAGTCTATACTTGATTCAGTAGGCAATGGGGAACCACTGAAGGTTTTATAATAGAAAGTGAAATTTAAAAAAAAGGAAAGTGAAATAATTACAGCAGAGCATTAGGAAGATTACTGGGGTGACACAGTTATCCCTTTCACGTTGCAACTTTCCCCATTACCATTTTGTTATATCATGAGTTGGCATAACAAATTAAATGAGAATTTTTGGTGGAGTTTTGCAGAAGCCACAGAAGCCACATGAAGGCCAGCAGACAACACAGAGGCTATGATTGAATACTTAACCCAAATTTTACAATAAGGTACTGTAAACACCTGATAAAAGAAAAAGGAAAAAATTCAGACTTCTCTGGGATGAAGAGAGGCACAAAAAAGTTGCAAATTTTCCAGACTGCAGGGGCCGGGGGTGAACTGCTACACCCCTAACTTCGCCACGTGGAAGGGATAACTGTAGCATGAAGGATAGATGTGAAGGAAGGTAATAGAGTGAAGAAAGGTAGAAAGACCAGTTAACTTGGATTTTACAATAATTTAGGCAAGAAAAGAGGAGGGACTGAATTATGGAAGATGAAAAAGTTGCTCATATTGAATGCCACATATATGATGGGGGGTGGGGATGGAACTAATCAGATTGCCATTTTCAGAACCTTCCCTGCTGCGGGCAAATATAGTACAACACTTTTCTACAAGGGTGAAAGCTGATGATGTTACAAGTATAAATTGCTCTCAACCTGCCACTATGCAGGATAGTTTTTGTTTTGTTGTTGAGTCATTTTCAATTGTGTCTGACTCTTCATGACCCTATTTGGGATTTTCTTGGCAGAGGTATTGGAGTGGTTTGCCATTTCTTTCTCCAGCCCATTTTTACAGATGAGGAAACTGAGGCAAACAGGGTTAAGTGACTTGACCAAGGTCACACACATAGCAGTAGGAAGATTACTGGGGCAATACTCACTCCAGATCCTTTCTCTCTACTCTAGGAAGTATACATTGGAGAAAATGAGTAATTCTTTCATATCACCTGCCTCTGTTTGAAGAATATGAGTGGCCAATACTTCTTTGTGTGTTTCCCTCAGAGCTCAGAATTGTTGAGAATGATAAATACAGCGGGAACTCAACAAATACTTGATTAACTGATTGACATCCTGAATTCAGATTCAGGGAAGAATCTGGGAAGGAATACAAGAGTTACTGTTCTCACTTCCAAGATTATGTGTTTTCCAAGGCACAGAGAAAGATTTGCTTCATTATCTATTTAACTTCAATTATTTGAAAAAATCATCATCATAGATGTGCATTGTTTTATTTAATGTAAGATTCTACTTAATACAAACAACCCACTCTTTATGGTGAATTAAAATCAGTACTTCTGACCAGCTTAAAAATGACGGTGGGTTTATAATCAAGTGAGATCATTTCTGGTACAAATGCCTTTTCAATAACAAAAGATGGGTCTTTGAACAGCATCCGGGACTTTCGTTTCCACTTCAAAATGCCCTTATAATATTTCCGCTGGAGGTCTTTCAGATCCATGAATTGTTTTTCTGAAAATGATCAGAGTTTGAGAGAATTATTTTTGTTGATCCCAAATTGGCAGCTAGTAGTAACTTCAAGATGTACATTTCATAAATAAATCCCTGCAGTACTTGATTCTTACTCTTAGAATAAAGACTTACACTTTTCCCTTCCCTCCTCTTCTTTCTATGCTCAGGTAATTTGTGTTTATATCCGATTTTATCAGGGAATCTTTCAGTCCTCTTGGAAATATCTTTCCAGTTTTTGTAGAAGAGGGATCCTCTTTTTCTACTTGAATTCAGCTGATTAGGACATTTTAAGTTGGGCCAGATCTGGCAGCAAGTAGGAACCTTGTTGTGGATTTCCCTGACTACAAAGTTAAAGGAATGAATAATTGACACCCTGGTCACTATGGTTAATAGTTTATTAAATTTAATAGAGGTTAAAACAAACCATCAGAGGCTGACCCTTGGTATATGGCTACTATGCTATTGTGTTTTAGGATTTCCTCTCAGTTCTGAATCACTAGTTAAAAAAAGAGGATAGAGAGGATATTGATATGTTCTACCTGAGAAGGCATAACCTAAATCCCTCCCCCTCACCAAAGACCAATGGCAGATCCCGACAGAAGGAAATAGTATTCCATATGAAGCTGATCAGGAAAGCACCAATTAAAGAATTAGTTCATAGAGTAATAGCAAGTTATAAGTTGATGCTACTGGCAAGACCTAAAGCACAATGCAAATGAAAGGCAAAAGGAGACGGATTTAGAAAATAGTGTTGAGAAGAGAATATAATAAATAGCCTCAAAATTCTGTAAATGGGGAAAAATAAATTTGAATTCCTATATTTAGTCAAAATAACAATGGATAATTAGATTAGTGAGAGATAGGTATTCTGGTATGACTGGGAAGTCATGTTCCTTTAATCCTTGCTCCTATAGTATTTCTTTCTCTTTTTTTCTAATAAAGATTAGTTTTTACCTATTTTTTTTTATTTAGATGATTTGTTTTTCAATTACTAACACTGAATTCTGGTCTTCTTAACTTGTTACAGCATGGTCATTATTTTGCTTGGGGAAAAAACCAAAACTACCCTGAGTTGCAGGGATGGTTCTAGGGAAGAATTCCATCAACTCTAGAAGGCATGTTTATACAATTCTACCCTATTTTAGTGGTAGCAAATGCACTCAAAGAATAATTTTTTTTCATCCATCATAATATCGTACTAGCTAATAGGTGAAAGAGTGACTTTGTGCTAAAGAAGGTCTAAAATGAATTAAGTAGCCAAACAAAAGGAAATCCAGTGAAAGCCTCAGTGAAGCTTAACACATTTTGGCTCTTATTTTTATTCCCTTTTTGCTATTTTAGAGATATACATTTACAGAAGAACTTTGATTTAGCCTAGTAGGGGAGAGAATGAGAAGATTAAATAGGAAATATTTAAAAATACTTGGAGGTATAGAGGCAGTACCAATGTAGAACTTGTGACCTTAACAAAGTTGGTATACAAGACTTTCAATATTGCACCTTTCTGAGCAGGCAGAAACAGTTAGACACTATAAAATGCCTTCTTAACTGGCATGGTTAGGGTGTGAGATTTGATACCTTTATTACAGTGTGTCCCAAAAGTCTCAGGGCAGCAAACAGTTGCACTAAGACTATTGGGACACCCTGGCTTATTAAGGTCTACTTGATGTCAGATAATAAAGTCTTTCTTATTCAGAATGACCAGAAACAAAAACTAGTTAACCAAGCCTGTCCTTTTGCTTTGGTTAACATTTTTCAAACACCATTATTTTAAAATCCTGAATTTTATATATGAGGAAATTGAGGTATAGAGAGATCAAGTGACTTGACCATGGTCACACAGCTAGATAGTGAACGAGGCAGGATTCAAACCCAAGACTTCTTGACTACCAGTCTAGCATTATCCATTATGTTGTGCTTATGATAATGATAATAGTGATTTACCCACCTGGATGGAGCAATTTTTCATAATGTTTTTGTCTCTTTGCTTGCGGCCTGAAGACTTTCCCTTTGGGAAGAACGATGTTGAAAAGGACTATCCTACAGAAAATCTTCTCATTCAGAATGTCATCTCTTATTAGGAAAGGTAACAAGAAAGGGAGACAATGATGGGCAAGCATCTCATAAGGAAAAATGTGCATTGGCAGGGAAATTTTGTTCATCAAGGCAATTGCTCTGGAAGGCATTGAGCGGTTTTCAGTTAATGTTCCTGGTCCATTAATTGCTAATAAGGTGCGGTGTAGGATTTTAATCATTTCTTTTGGGTCAGAAATATGACACTTGCCTTTGAAAGCAATAGGCTGAGCAAACTCTGTTGGCACTCTATGACTCAGTGTTTCTAGTGATATGATGTTTAAGACTTGAAGAAGATAGTTCTTTGCTTCTGTAATGGAAATATCATGTTTTCTTAAGTTATGGATTTTTTCGTTTTCCTTTATCAAAGCGTCAGCTGATAAAAGCAATTTTGAGAGCTGTAAAAAAAAAAAAGGAACATTTATATCATTAGAGTAGCACACAAAGAAGAAATCCAGCAGGTAAAATGAAATGATTTACGAGAAGACATGAGACTTTCAGAAAAACTGTACTGGAAATGAAATAGAGGGGTAAGCACATAGTACCCAAGGCAAATGAAATATCAAATGACCATGAAAATAGAAGTGGCAGAGAAGGGCGGTATATTTACAAAACTAAAGCAAACCAAAGCAAAGTCGAAGGGTGAAGTGAAGGAAATCCTGCATAAAGAATTAGTAAAACTAGATTCTAATACTTGCTGTACTATCAACCCTGCTCTGTCACCTTGGCATTCATACGACCTATTCTAGACTGCAGCAATTGCTCATTTTTTTGCCTCATAGATGTAAGACCTCTCATCATGTGAAAAATTGAACAATAACTCCTAAGTGAATATTAACCTATTTGATGCACTTATGTTTAATTTTATGAATTTGAAGGTTGACTTCAGAGTCAGAAATTCAGGCCATCGATAATCTGATGACACCTTTGTTCTTTGTTTTGCCATGATGCCCCTTAGAGGCTAATGGTCATATTTATAGAGGGACGAGCCTTTAAGGCTCTGGGAAATTTATTGATTAATGTTTCTCAGAATCCAGCTAAAACCACAAAAGCAGCACCCCTCATATTTCTTTGTGAACAGGTCCAACGAATCTGCAACATCAGATAAGGGGAGAGTTGGAACCTCTCCTTCCTGTCTTTCTCCCTTCTTTGCCCCTTCAACCAATCACAGTGTCAAAGAACTTCAAGTATGGGATCTCAGAAAGAAGGTAGCAGATAACACCTTGCTTCCTCATCCATTGCTGCCCTAGAACCCTGGGAAAACTGTCAAAACATAGCTTGATCACATTGGAGATGTGACCTTCCCTACACAAAAAGGAAAATAAAGAAATCACCTTCATTGCTGTATCCCCATTAGCTGATCTGACAATACTGGTGGTTTTCAAAATAGATGGAAGAGAGCCATTTCAAGGCAAAAATTTGATCCTCTCAGGCCTTCAGCCCTTCTGAGGTCTGAGTCAGCTACATGTAAGATATATCCCTTAATAAATCTCATTAGGATACTTAAATTTCATGCTTAGGCTGTTCCTTTCCTATGGTGGATGCCTGTTTAATGTAAAAATTACTCATTAAGATAAGCATTTCATGCTAATTAGTAAGAATAAAATGAGTAGAAAACACTGATCATCTCTTCATTTATCCCTTTGAACCCCAAATAGTACTGATCCACTTGTACAAATCATTTCATTGTTCTGGGCATAATTTTCCTCCTACGTAAAATTAGAAGATTGAATTAGATGAAACACAGGATGCTATACAGCATTTCAATTGAACTAGATAGACAACCCTAAAGTCCCTTTCAAATCTAAACATCCTATGATTCTTTTATAGTATCCGGAGTATCAGATAAGAAAAATCCAAATCCAGATCCAAATATATGAGTTCTAAGAAAGGCTTACTAACTCAGAGAGATAAATAATAGGGAATGGCGTCCCAATGCTGTAAACAAGGGATTTCCTTGGCCACATGCCCCAGCAATATGCCAACTGCAAAACCCAGTAGGGTTTCACACAATCATAACCTGCCTTGCCTCAACTGGGGCCCCCCTTTTTTGGATCCCTAGCACTTAGCACAACACCTTGCATACAGTTAGTATGTAATAAATATTAGTTGACTGACTCTGTATTTACATCAAGAGGCATATCCTTGTCAATAGTTCATCACTGACATGTGGAGGAAATTATCACCTTTTGTTTGTGTTTTACCCCAAGGCTTCAAGTATGGGTAAGAGAAAAAAATGGCAGAGACTAAGTGGGGACTGGATCTTTTATTTTATTGCTATGGGTGAGGAAGTTTTCTCTACCAGTGCAGGTTGGTTCCTTCTCTACAACTGAGAGTCTTGGAGAGTTTCCTCAGATACTTAGAAATTAAGTGACTCATCAGGCACTCAACAATCAGAATGTGCCAAAGGGCAGTTTGGCTAGTGCCAAACTCGTGTCTTCCTGCAAAGCTGTCTTTATAGAGCAGCTTGAATGCAGGCCTAGTGGGAATCAAGGGGAGGGCCTAAGTGACCTCTCAACATCCCTGCCTTTCTGAAATATTATATTGATGAGAAAATTAACCTTGAAAAAGTAAACACATTTTTGCAGCAAATGCCATTATCTCTAAAAGGAATTATGAGTCAGTTAGTTCAGCTCATTCACTAATCTATTCATTCAGCAATAAACATTTATGAAACATCTAATATGTGACAGACATGGTGCTAGGGGTAGGGAAGAGGATGAGAAAGATGGAAAGATGAGAAATGCCCTTTCCCGGCCTCCAAGCGGTTTACAATTGAGTAGTGTATACAACATATATGAATAGAATATATAACATAATGCAAATCAGAATTTGACAAGGACGTAAGAGGAAGAGAAAGTGATTGAACAATACTGGCAAATCAGGCCAAAGTCTGAGCTTTGATTACTACTTCAGGCCCCTTTGTTTCATATCATCATAACAGTTCACAGTACATGTTTAATTCCAGGTAGTTGCCTTGCAAATGCATACTGGAACACTACCTCTCCTACTCCATGTCACATACACTATGGACAAACCATCCTTACCCTTGTTTTTGCTCCTCATATTTCCTCCATTTCCTATGTTTGTGCCTTTGCATTGACTATCTCTCATGCCTGGTATGCACTCTCCTTCAGTTCTACCTAGTTTTGCTCAAGACTTATCATTAGAGCCACCCTCTATATGAAGCTTTTGTTGATTTCCCCCCCAGCTCTTGGTATCTTCCCTTCCCCATCGATCCCATCAATTATTTGGTATTGATTTTATACATTTTTCATATACATATATATGTATATGTTGTTTCCCTAGACCAGATTGTAAGTTCCTACAAGGTAGGCACTGTTTCATTTTACCTTTTTATCTTCACTATGTAGCACAATGCCTGGCACATAGGCATTAATTAATGTTTGTTGATTGAAGTATAGTAGGAATCATTGACCTATACTATTGGTATTCTCCAGTGGCTTTCTGAATGCCACACAGACCTAGTCCATCAGCTTTTTTATAGACACTATCATAGAAGTTTGGAGCATTAAAAAATAGGATGACCCTTTGACATCACATGATAGAGTTTTAAGTGCATACCGGGCAAAAAAATGAATTTTTCTCGGCATTCACCACGTTCTGTGTGGCATCAGCAATATCCTCTGTCTTTGATGATTCTATTATCTCTGATGTATCTTCTATTTCTGTAAGGTCAGATGAGTTTTCTTTATCAGTGGTGTTCATTGTGCTGGGAGATGACTTTCTACTTCCTAGGGGAAGAGAAATAAATCAAAGTTACTCTTATGGACTCATTCACAGGAAATAAGGAAAAGTGAAATGAGAAAAGATCAAAGATCCAAGAAGATTCTGGGCAATTAATTCAGTCTTCTGAACCTTGAGATTGGGACATTCTTTTGGATTTTGTACTGGACTTTCCTTTCATTTTTATCTCATGATTCCTGGTCAAGTCCAACCCACTTTGCCATATCTCAACTGATAGTTTTCTAACACTCTAAATTCTTGTAGATGGTTATTCTGTAGACACTGATCACAGCTTCAAAGGGCTTTCTAGTACCATACCTTGTCCTTTTATCCTACCTACGTAATCAGTCTTCAGTCACAGCCTTAGAAATGATTGTGTGTCTCTTTGCTCAAGGGAAAATGTTGATTTCCCACAACAGAATAAGATGTTGACTGAGGTGGAGCCAAGATGGCAGAGAAAAAGAAGTGACTCTCCTGAGCTCTCCCCTAAACTCCTCCAAACCCCTTTAAATAATGCCATAAAGCAATTCCTAAAGCGGCAGAACCCACAAAAGGATGGAGTGAGCATGCTACAGTGCAGTCCAGCACAAGCTGCACCAGCACAGACCCAGCCCCAGCAAACCAGGTGCAGGTCTTGGCAGCCACTGAATCAGTTGTGGCAATGGATGCTTTTTTTTTTTCATCACACAATGTGGCTGTTATTACGTATGATGTTCTCCTGGTTCTGCTTACTTCACTCCACATCAGACCACAAGTCTTTCCAGGTTTTTCTGAAGTCTGCCTGCTCATCATTTCTTATAGCCCAATAGTATTCCATTACATTCATATACCACAACTTGTTCAGCCATTCCCTAATTGATGGGCATCCTTTCAATTTCCAGTTCTTGTGGCAATGGATGTTTAAAGAGCTCTCAGCCCACAGATAGTAAGGGGGTTGAACAAACTGATTAGAAGGGGATTACAGGGATCTCTTTGATAGCACTGGAGGCAGGACTCTGTTGCTTTGCCCATACTCAGATCCAGGTCACAGTCCTGTCGGGTAGTCCCAGGGAGAGGAGGAGCACTAGCACACTAGCGGAGCAGGAACCCTCCTCATAGTTCCAATGCAGAAAAGAGTGCTTGTGGTCACTCACAGACCAGAGCACAGGCCAGAGGAGTAATAAGTGCACCTCTCCTTAGATCATACCACCTTAGAAGAACTGAAAACTTACAGGTCCCTAAAAATATCTCTGAAAACAGCTGCACAAAACCCCTGAACCTTGGGATAGTGTGCCCTCCACCCTGGAAGCAGAGCCCCACTTTAACAAAGAGTTAAAAGTCAAGAAATAGACTGAAAAGGTGAGCAAACAACAGAAAAAAAATTCTGACCATAGAAAGTTACTATGGTGACAAGGAAGATCAAAACACACACTAAGAAGAAGAGAACGAAGCCAAAGATCCAACATCCAAAGCCTCCAAGAAAAATAAGAATTGTTCTCAGGCTATGGAAGAGCTCAAAAAGGATTTTAATAATCAAGTAAGAGAAGTAGAAGAAAAATTGGGATGAGAAATAAGAGTGATGCAAGAAAGTCATGAAAAAAAGAGTCAACACAAAAAAACACTGAAGAAAATAATGCCTTAAAAAACAGACTAGGCCAAATGGTGAAAGAGGTACAGAAGGCCAGTGAGGAAAAGAATGTCTTGAAAAGTAGCATTAGCCAAATGGAAAAGGAGATACAAAGGCTCACTGAAGAAAATAATTCCTTAAAAATTAGAATGGAACAAATGGAAGCTAATGACTTTATGAGAAATTAAGAAACAATAAAACAAAACCAAAAGAATGAAAAAATAGAAGACAATGTGAAACATCTCACTGGAAAAACAACTGACCTGGAAAATAGACCTAGGAGAGATAATTTAAAAATTATTGGACTACCTAAAAGCTACGATAAAAAAAAAAGACCCTAGACATCATCTTTCAAGAAATTATCAAGGAGTGGATAGAGCACCGGCTCTGGATTCAGGAGGACCTGAGTTCAAATTTGGACTCAGATGCATAACACTTACTAGAGGTGTGACCCTAGACAAATCACTTAACCCCATTGCCTAGCAAAAAAAAAAAAAAAGAAAGAAAGAAAAAGAAAAAGAAATTATCAAGGAAAACTGCTCTGATATTCTAGAACCAGAGGGTAAAATAGAAATTGAAAGAATCCACCAATCACCTCCTGAAAGAGATCCCAAAATGAAAACTCCCAGGAATATTATAGCCAAATTCCAGAGCTCCCAGGTCAAGGAGAGAATACTGCAAATAGCCAGAAAGAAGCAATTCAAGTATTGTGGAAGTAGCTTCTACATTAAAAGATTTGAGGGCTTGGAATATGATATTCCAGAGGGTAGAGTCACAGGGGTGGGGAATCTACAGTCTCAAGGCCATAGATGGCCCTCTATATCCTCAAGTACCTTGCCACACTTGAGGCCTCAAGGCTGCAGGTTCCCCACCCCTGATGCTAGGATTATATTCAAGAGTCACCTCCCCAGCAAAACTGAGTATAATCCTTCAGGGGGGGGAAATGGACATTCAATGAAATAGAGGAATTTCAAGGACTGTTGATGAAAATAGAAATAGAATAGAATTCTGAATAAAAAATTTGAATTTCAAATATAAGCCTCAAGAGAAACATAGAAATGTAAACAGGAAAGGGAAATCATAAAGGACTTAATAAGGTTAAACTGTTTACATTTCTGCATGGGAAGATGATACTTGTAACCAATGAGAACTTTTCTCATTATTAGGGCAGTTAGGCATATATATAAACAGAGGGCATGTTTGGGAATTGAATATGAAGGGATGATATCTAAAAAATAAAATTAAGGGGTGAGAAAGAGGAAAGTACTGGGAAAAAGGGAAAGGGAGGGGTAGAATGGGGTAAATTATCTCACATAAAAAAGGTAAGAAAAAGCTTTTACAATGGAGGGGGAAATGGGGCAGGTGGAGTGGGGGGAGTGAGTGAACCTTACTCTCATCAGAATTGGCTCAAAGAGGGAAATAACATATGTGCTCAGTTGGGTATAGAACTCTATCTTACCCTACATGAAAGTATGAGGGGAAGGGGATAAGAGAAGGGGGGCTATGATAGAAGGCAGGGGCAGACTGGGAGAGTCGGTAGCCAGAAGCAAAACATTTTTGAGGAGGGACAGGGTGAAAGGAGAGAGAAAATAGAATAAATGGGTGTGGAATAGGATGGAGGGGAATATGTTTAGCAATCATAACTGAAAAGAAATTTTAAAGCAAATTTCTCTGATAAAGGCCTCATTTTAAAAATTATATATACATAGACAGAGAGGACTGAATCAAATTTATAAAATAGGAGCCAATCCCCAATTGATAAATGATCAAGAAATATGAACAGCTTTCAGATGAAGTAATCAAAGCTATCTTTAGCCATATGAGAAGGTGCTCTAAATTGCTATCAATTGGAGGAATACAAATTGAAACAATTCTAAAGTACTACCTCATACCTATTAGATTGGCTAATAAGGACAGAAAAGGAGAATGACAAATATTGGAGGGATTGTGGGGAAAATGAGATAATAACGTGTTGTTGGTGGTGTTTTGAACTGATTCAAGCATTCTTTAGAGCAATTCAGAACTATGCCCAAAGGACTATAAAACCACACATACCTTTTGACCTAGCAGTGCCACTACTAGGTCTATATATAAAAATAAGATAAAAAAACAAAAGGGAAAAGGACCTATATGTACAGAAATATTTATAGCAGCTTTTTTTCTGATGGCAGGGAGTTGGAAATTGAGGGGATGCCCATCAATTGGGGAATGGTTGAACAAATTGTGCTATGTGATTATGATGGAATACTATTGTGCTACAAGAAATGATGAGCAGGCTGCTCTCAGAAAAACCTGAAGAGACTTACATGAGCTGATACAAAGTGAAATGTACAGTGTACAAAGTAACAGCAATATTGTAAGACGATCAACTGTGAATGATTTAGCTATCTCAGCAATACAATGATCCAAGACAACTCTGAAGGACTCATGATGAAAAATGCCATTCATCCCCAGACAAAGAACTGATGGTATTTGAATACAGACTGAAGCATACTTTTTTACTTTATTTTTCTTGATGGTTTTTTTAATCTGTTTTTTTTTCACAACATGACTAATACGGAAATAATGTTTTGCATGACTACACATATATAACCTACATCGAATTACTTGCCTTCTCAATGAGGGGAGTTGGGAGGGAGGAAGGGAGAGAATTTGGAACTCAAAGTTTTAAAAACAAATGTTAAAAATTATTTTTACATGTAATTGGGGGAAAATAAAATACTAGATAAATTTTTTAAAAAAGAAAAGAGAATAAGATGTTATTTTATCTGTCTTTTCCTCAGTGTAACCTGTGTTGGGAGAGAATAGCTGAGAAAAAAAAATCTCTGTGTCACAGTATCTTGGCTATTATGAGCTCTGGCTTCCCTACTCAATAAATTCCAATTGCTTCCCATTGCCTTTAGGGTAAAACATAAACTCCTCTATTTGACTTTCAAAACCCTTTAACAACCTAGTCCAATTCATAGCCACACCAACAATACATTTATGTGTTCATCTTTCCAAAGCTCCTCTATCAGCTACTATTTCTATCTTTTATTATCTTTGCCAATTTTCTGGGTATGAGACAAAACTTCAGAGTTATTTTGATTTATATTTCCATTATTAGTGACTTATTAGGCACCTTTTCAAGTGGTTGTTAAGAATTTATAGTTATTTGTGGAGAATTATTTGTTCATATTATTTTTAAGTCTTTTATGTATATTTATTAGTTGCCTATGTATCTTGGATATAGGACCCTTAACATGAATATTTCATACAAAGGTTTTTTCCCCTCAGTTGACTTCTTTCCTTCTGTGGGCAAATGTAATTGCATTGTTTGAACCTAGCCTTGCATAGCTGAGGGACCAGACCTGTTGCTTAGAAACTAGATTTATTTAATGCTTAACTCAGGACTCTGGGTTA